AAGAATGTGGCAGCGAACCGACAGCAGTGACCTTGTTGTTGTCATTTCTTTCGAGGCCAGAATGCTTGAAACAGTAAGTATGCACAGTTAGACTGTGTACTCTGAGTTGACCATAGAGGTTCCCGTTCTTTCTCTCCTTAGGCCCAAACCAAATGCCTCTTGTACTTTTTCATTTACAGTGATAGCTTGNATAGCTTGGCAGCGAACAGGGAAGTTCAATCATGTATATTTCGCTGTATAATGATAATGATGGTGGAGGAATACAAACTTACGACTGGCACCGCTTTATCCTACTGGGCTTGTCTATAGGTCAGTAACCTCGGGTGGGTAGACATTGCCCAAGGGAAAAGGCAGACACAAACATTCAGTTGATATCTGAAGGGATAACAATTTCGCTCACCCAACGCTTTGAAAGAAAATCGTAGAAAAATTAGGTCACGTGCGAATCTGGTCTGCCACTAACTAAAACCGTCACTTTCAACTTGCTACTCTACGGATGTCACTTGGCACTGTTAGGGCTGGAGATTTATCCTTGAAGAAAAAGCTAGAGAGTTACTGAGGTATTCCATTTTGTAGTCAAATCCTCAAATTATTAATGGGCTGCACCAGTAAACTCTCCTCTCTTCCTTTCAGGCCCCATACACCACAAATTACTTATTTAAACTAAAGAATGGTACGTTGACCTTTTCAAACAACTCTCTTTTCAAAGAGCGTTACGAAAGCTGACGTGGACAAACCTTTCAAACTTAACGGTTTATTTCTGGCACCGGATGCTTCAAACTATTTATTGCAAATTGTACAGCGCGTAGAAAGCAGCAAACGCCAGAAGGTTCTGCGTCGTTTAGTTGAAACGATACTTAAACAAAAGATTGATGACAGTCGAATAACGCGAGCCCTTTGCGAGTCTGCGGTAAACGAATGTAAAGCAGATCGTAATGTAGACACTCCAGTGCTATTTGTGGTTGATGCTTTTGAGGTGGGTATCATTTATTTTCTTCTAACAGGAATCCCATTACAGGTTCCTCGGTTTCAGTATTCTGTCACGTTGAAGAAGTTCATTCCTTTGGAAAGTTCGCTAGCACAAGGACAGACAAAATCGTTGTTTCCATCGATTGCTTATCTTAAATCCTTTATGTATGCGCATCGTTATGAGGTAAGTTTAATACGGACAACTTCCGGAAAAACAAATTATATTTTTCGCCGTTTGGCTGTTAATGTCTGTCGAAGAATTCAGTTCCTCGAAAAGTTTAAACACACACGTCTCTTGGTCCACTTGTGGAAAGATCCTCATAAACTGATGGTTTTGGTTCAGCCTTATTCAGGGATGCCGAAACTTGGTTGTCAGGAGAACTGCTAAGGTCATTTTCTAATACCTGAGATACAGACTACTTCCGTGGGATTATTTAGCGAACATCCTCATCTTTAAAGGTGTGCGCAGCGACCGCACCAAGCACGAGTATATTTCATACGGGCTTGAGGATCAGCATGGCACCAACACAACAACAGTGATAATAGTGGTAGGAGCGGATGCTCACCGATGAAATGAAAATGGGGAAGACAGAAATCAGAGAACAAAGTTAACAAATAAATGAATGAATAGTATTTTTTGATAGTTTCAACTTATATATTTTGATGTGTTTTGTCTGTTATGAGGAACGTGGTTTCGACAAGCTACCGCACTTCGCACTTAAATGGCGCAAAGCACGTACCACACTTGGATACCTCGATCACCAAGCAGTTTCAAACGTGTGGGACTTCCTGTATGCTGTCACCCGGCAAAGCGATGTCATTGGCATATTTCAAGTCAAGAACTCTGCTTCCCTGGGGTAGTTCAACTCCACCGTACAAAGCTTCCTGTAGAAAATCAGCTGTGGCAAAGTTAAATGGGGATATGAGGCAACTTTGTTGCACTCCACTGGAGACGGCAAAGGGTGGCGAAAGCTAACCATAGGCCCCGACCCGACCTGCGATATGACAATACAACTCCTTGAGGATCCACACGCACTTCTCGGGTACTCCATTCCTCAACAAACAGTTTCATAGTGCGGTCACATTGATAGTGTCGAAGGCCGCGCGGATGTCTAACAATGCAATGATCGTAGGCATGACGGTGCTCTATCAGCTGTTGGCGGGTGAAGATTTGATTGATACATCCATGACTGGCGCGAAACCCAGTTTGTGATAGAAAGCATCTTTGGCAGAATCTGGGGTCTAGTTAGTGGGTGCGTACTCAGCTTTCGGAGCGACGACTGCTCACTTTGCGTGGGCCTCACTGCGCGTAAACGACTGTCAACTATGTTCCAATCTAGGATCGCGGCTACGGCTTTCACAGAACCACGCGAATGTCAGTAAAGACCATAAGCTGCAGCCTCATGGCCCCCAGAAATTCGTAAGCGAACCTTCATAAATAGTTTTGACTGGGATGTCAATCGGATAATGCAGCTGGACTCCTGAATGCAATTCTCTTAGATACAATACATGTCGATGGCTAGTGTCCCGCGGGTACGAGCCTGTTGTCGTATACGCGAGGAAGAAAAAGAGCTTAAACCGTTAGAAAATATTCGGTGAGACTTAAACATTAGTCGAATATGGACTCGAGAAACTGTGGGCAGAGTTTTCGTCTAAGGTACAACGACTACTACGATGGAATTATAATTGTTTAGAAGGGGTGGATATAAAATCGTGGAAAATTGGGGAAACAGGAAGATGTGCCATCACAACGAGACGGCACCTTGACGCGGTGTTGATGGCTTGTGTACCTCTCTGACCCAACGATCATGCCGAAGATCTAATCATGCATGAAAGATCGAAGACCAGAGGTCGGACGAAGTTCAGTCTCCTGGTCGTCCACATTGGAGTTTCCACTAGAATTTGCGTTTCAGTCAGTAAAAATGGTGGGGGAGTAGTTGATCCAAGTATGTGCGTCTCCACTGCGCATCACCCGCTGCTTTGCGGCTAATTTCTTGTCAGAACTAAAGGCTTTGGTTGTGAACCCTAAGCGTTCTCCTGCTTAGTGGCTGGACAACCTAGCAGTACTCGTCCATCAAACCCCAATGCATATGCATTGCGAGCTTGACAGCGATCTGTAAAGTTCGCTTCCCTGTATTCCACTGTGAGATGATGATGGTGATGAGGAAGATGTGCACGGTGTATCACTCCGAAATATTCGTAATCAATGGTATGAATGCCGATTTGCGTAACGATTACTATCATTACCCATGCAAAGCCAACGACTCACGGTATAGTGCACATTGTGTTGAAATAGTGATTAAGAATCTATCTTATATGTTCTATGGGGACCGTTTTTTTGCTACTCAATAGTAGTGATTTACAGTATAATATTCGAACTTGTTTGCTATAGGTTGTCTATCAACGCGTCCTACGGCATCAATTATTCTCAAAGACCGCTGCGTTTGGAAGAGTGGTAACGGACGATTCTCAGAGAGGCAATTTCCGTATCCGACCCATCGAATACCTTTTGGCTACTGGATCGCGAATAGATTCAGTAATCGTTTTGGGAATGCTCTGTCAGTTGCGGGAGGGTGATTGGCATCTTGAAGATCCGACTGGTATTATTCGCCTCAGCTTAGCAGAGACAGTTTTTCACGAGGTTAGTTCATATCAGTTGGATATTCTTCAAGACGGCCACCTCCAAAATTATATAACAGGAATCTTTAGAAGCATTATATTGTGTTCTTTCAATTTCCGACTCCAATTTTAGTTGTAATCGATTTGATATTAATCCCTTGGAACTGCTTCGTTGAAAGTGAATACTGGGAAAATAAGAAATCACGAATGCGCTTATTTTCCCCTTATACCTATGTCATTTCCCTTTTATTGTGAGTTCATCTTTTGAGACAAACTGATTTTGCTTGCCTTCACAATCGCCTGCCTCTTACAATTTCGGCTTTGTTAGCATTGTTTCCATCAATACGTTTGCTAAGGGAGGAAAACCTTCCTTCAAAATTTCTCGACAAATCCCAGGTTCTGTTTGTGCAATTCAGTGGTTGAATATTCAGTTGAGGCTAATTGTCGGGGGTGGGTGTCTAGGTTTGCGGCTGGTTACCCTACCCTTGCACCTCGCGAAATGCTCCCATACGACCAAGCGTCTCAAATAGCCTCAGCTGAGGAAGCCCTACTCACTACCCTCTCTTGGCGGAGGTGTTCCCACCAAAGTGAGAGGACGAAAAGTCGGTATCCCGGACTATAACCGGGTTGGTGAACCATTCACAGTTCACCTAAAGGAGTTGGCTAAAAACTCTGATTCTAAACCAACCAAGAGGGAGCGTACGAACCACACACAACTTTTTGGTCGTGACAGTGGTTACCGGCTCGATGGAGCACCTTTGGACGTTCGACCCAATTCAAAGGGCGTATGCTCTGATGAACTGGACACCGGCCCCCAGTGGATTACGGTTTTCACACACCGCACCGCTGCCTTGCGGGTCAGGCTTTGGTTAGCCAAAGGCTCCGGTTGTGGATTCCTCAAGAACCTTATAGCATTCACGCCCTTGATTTCTATCCTGGGCCCCATCTCTTAGGGTCTCTAACCAACGAAAATGCTCATCCCTTGGGCCCCAACCTAGAACGCGGGTTGCACCAAACGAAGCCAAAGCTGAAACCAGTTTCTTCATACCTCTACGCCATGTCATGGTCTAACCGCTGCAGTGCTTATTTCAGCCTTGCCCGGCACGTGCAAAGAGAACACGGTGAGCTGATCGATGGGCAGGCATACGCAATACGCGACTAAGCCATCGGAGGCGATGCAGAGCGAGTACTTCTGTTACAGAGCGATTATCCACATCCAACACACGACAACGAATCTCGTCATTTCTCACCCGATGTTCCCACCAGACACGAGCANGGTGGTCGAATACGGAAAGTCGATTAGCATCCTCAACGCGGAGAGGCGAGGTGTCACAACCGTAAAGTAGAACGCTACGAACCGCGGCGATGTGCACCCTTCCCTTAGGGGACAGTTGGATGTCATGGCGGTGCTACATGTGTCGCAGGTTTGCGAAATCTGCTCTAGCTTTCGCTGTTCGTGATGTGATCTCCTCCCCAACACTAACACCAACTGAGATCAAGCTCCCGGGGTACTTAAGGCTCTCAACTACTTCTAGCTGATCACCAAAGAGGGTAAGCGCATTCACAGGCTCCTGCCAGTTTTGAACAAGCACTTTGCAGT